CATTAAGTTTATGCTTACATTTAGATCAATAGAATGTTTTTAACGGGTGACTTCACACCATGTAAATATATGCATTCCTAACATAGTTATTATAATATGATATCATAGAACGTAGATAATAGATAAACCAAATTCCACTCATTGTAAATATGCACCTGAGGAGCTAACATTAAAGCGAAAACGTTTGTGCAAAATTTGAGTGGCTTTTATTTTATTTTACGTTATAAATGTCTCTTTTGGTTGCACATTGAAACCTTTTATATAGACAACACTTGTATCTTGTTATCATGCAGCAACATTTCACTATATATATATATATATATATATATATATATATATATATATATATATATATATATATATATATATATATATATATATATATATATATATATATATCTGCTTGGCAGATACAAAAACTCGAAAAAACTAATTTTGACATCAGTTTTCAAAGATCAAATTTTATTAAGTTATCTTGTACTTTGTCTTCGTATATACATGTATCAATGTATGGAAGAACATAAATTACATGTGTTAAAATCTGATCATTTAATTGAAAGTGAAACAGTGGCAGTGCTTTAATTTAGCTTATAGCTTATATATTTATTATTCTATTGACGTTAAACCTTTTCACTTGGGAATCGGGTGCTCCTTTTTTGAATGGCGGTCCACAATTTCTTACTTTGGTCATTGCCTTAAATAATCATTCTTATACCGGTCGTCTTCTACTGTAATCCTGCAGACCACATAAAAAAACAAACTTTTACTGCATGATAACAGAATTTGACTTTCATGTACTATTTAAAACATGAGCAGCAGTGTTTTATCAGATATAAAGATACGTGGCGAAGCCTAGTGTCTTTAGAGTTTAGGTCTGATGAAACATGCACTGCGAATGTTTTAAATTGCTTCAAAAATGAATAAATGATCGATCTAGTAAGTGAATTTAGTTCATTGGCGAAGTAATTTTCAAAAAATACGTTGTGTAGCGGTCGAGAAAATCAAAGTTAGAGTTTATGGAAATCAAGCGAAATCTCTATCACATATAAAGATACGACACGCTTATGTTTTTTCTTTGTGCTCATGAATTATTTTAATAATTTAAGCATTAAAATGAGTTTTTGAAATATAAGTAATAAGATAAATTATTTAATTGTGTTAAAGTTTTCTGTGACTGTGCATATTAAGTGCGGTAATCGTCAAGTGAGCGAAACAACTTGATGTAAACATAACCATTTACATGCGCCATACCTGCCTGTAAATGTGATTCACACTGTGTGAATCAGTGAATTGAAAATTTCGTTGACTTACGGCGATTTTCACTGCTCGTTCCTATATAGATTCCATTTGATGAGCCATGTGCGCGCGCAAGGTACAGCTACGACGCCAGAGAACCTGGGTAAGTATCTTTATGAAAATCAACTGAATTTAACTAGTGATGCGAACGGAATTCATAATTTCAAAATTTGCCTGAAAGAATGCATCCTATACTAATGCATCCTATACTAGCTAAATATTGTTGAAAAAATCATAATTCAATGGGTGCCTGCAGTGAGCGGCGATCGCAAAATTTAATTAATGATCCCCTGTATATACACAATTTCTTGTAGTCATAGAATCGTCTGCATGTAGGCTAGACGGGAAGAGTTAATATTTAGGTTCTCCTCAGCAGTGGCATTGGTTATATACAGTATAATTATCCCCTTTGTTACCCCCTTGCTATAGTCGACAAATACCGGAAACATCGTTGGAGACAAGGAAACTAGGGCTTCGTACTTAACGAAGCCATTACCGTGGGAAATTTCAATGTGATATCCAGTTACCCACGTTAAGTGAAATTGGTTTTCTCATGTCATAGTTTGTTGAAATGTACATCAATACATTGACAGTATGATTTAGTGTTGATTTGGGACATTTGATAATAATATTATATAGCAGGATTAGAATCAGTGTGTATTGTATTTTTGCCAAATCCACCAATAGCAATTTCCAATTTACCCTACCATTCGAGTCACGGATAGGAAACTTTCCTAAAGGCTAAAACATTACTATTGGTTAGTTGGACAAACATACAATACGCACGTGACGGTGAAGGACCAGATTTATGAATAAGCGTTGAACTAACATAGATAATGAGTTATATTGTTATTGGAATGAGTTTCACAGCCATCTTCCCTTCGATAGGCTATGCCTATGGTTTGATAAACAACTAATCCCTAAACTTTTATGCATAGGGATTTAAATTTAAAGAAAGGTGATTTGGTTGTGCTTCTGCAAAGAATTGATGAGAATTGGTTCATTGGTGAAATTTCAGGACAACAAGGTTATCTACCTGCAAATTTTGTTGAGGTAAAAGATTGGTGCACGTGATTTCATTAGTTACCTACAGTATAATTAAATAGAGATACTGGACTTACGGCATGAACCTGGAGGACGAGATAGACGGGCAAAGGTGTGTTTGGTTGTGGCGACGGGGGGTATGCTGCTGGACCACCACGAGGCCATGAAGTGGTCTTTCCTGCGTGCGTTCCGAGACAAATGTCCAAAACCTTAATAATCCGCAGATCACTTTTCATTATTATAACTCTTTTTATTATTATAATATTTCAGTATTTTAACATAATTCAGGTCTGTCATGTGTCCGATTCAGCCTCGTGTGTGGAGAAACATGTTGTTTGGTGGTGACTATTATGAATGTGCTGATCAATAAAATTTATTTACGGCCCAAAAAAGTTAACGGAAAGTGTAGCATGCGTATAGCCGGCGGTTTTAAGGTGATGTGTATGCGAGATGGAAATAAAATCCGGATTATCTGGTTGGTTACTGTACAATCAGAGCAACACGTTTTCTTTGTTTGATTATTTTGGAAAAGAACCAATAAGATTAATAACGTGAATGTTATTTAGGTCATAAATCCATTACCAAAGTTTGAAGAAACAAAGCGAGCACTTGCGAGAGGTCTTTACGACTTTGAAGAAGACGATGAAGAAGATTTACTTCATTTTAAACAGGTTGGATGATTTTGCAATACCCTATTTTTTTTAGATTTATATTTAGGCAGTGCGAGTTGTTGGTGGTACCGTAATCCCGCATAAAATTGCACTTATAAAATGATGCGGCTGAAGGCCATAGTTGACATAGTTATACCACCTACAATACATGTTCAATTTGAAAAAAATACTTAAATTAGTTCTTATATTTTTTTGTAAAACACATATAGCTCGCTTGCCCATACGCTTTAGATTGAAAACTGCACGAACTTCGTATATCATTGGATATTTTTCTCGTACATACTTGCACATATATATTAAAGAAACATTATTTGTGTTTAGGGTGATATTATGACAGTTCTACAAAGAGTGGATGCTAATTGGTGTGAGGGAGAAATTGGTGATCGATGTGGGATATTTCCTGTCAATTTTGTTGAAGTACGAAAATTTTAAAATTTTGAAGATTTGTTGCTTAACTGTTGCCTAACCGCTACCTGTACGAAATTAACCACGCCCTTACCACAAACGGCATGTTAGTTTTAACTTGCTTGATCGGTACTGCATGACCTATCCTATTTTCTGTGAGAACAATTAGTTAATTTTAGTCCTGTATACAGTATATATAGACTATTATACTATTGAATTTTAAATAAGAGATACTATATATATGCACGCACTTGGCACCCTCTCGGCCTTTACGTATACAGTATAATTTCAAATAGATTTGCAGTACCAATTATTTTTAAAGACAACCAAAAGATTGTAGTATACATATACAAGTTTAAAATAGGAGTGGCGTACGATTGGATAGTTTCTGGTGATTTATATGAGTCTCTGATGAAAATGTATACATTTGACAAACGAGTAGGTTTTCTTATCATATTTTCATTCTGTTGCACGACAATGCATGCAGAGAAAGTGTCTCAATTCGTAATTTTACTAAATTTTAATAGCTCAATCGTGCAGCATCTTCAATGGTCAGCACGAATAAAAATCCTGAACCTGAAACTCGACGTCAACCAAGCATTCCCCAGACGAAATCAGAAATGCGTCAACCGCGACAGAAAGCTCAACCACACAGACCTCTCAGAAGGTCTCGATCTATTCCTCGAGAAAACCTGGAAACTGTTCGCAGACGAGTTCGCGACTTCGGTGAAACAAGTGACCCTAGTGGACATGGAGGTCGTGTTCCGAACCAAATCAATCGACATTCGTTTGATGTTTTCTCAGTCGATTATTCTCGTGATTTTAATCCTCGGGATGAATCATGCGATGCAACTTCTAATGTCGCAGCCAATTGTCGTCCTAATACTCGCCCAACAGAATCCAGAGAACTGCAGGTATAAAGTTATGCCTCAGCATGCACTATAGTGCGAATGACGTGATGTATGTATAGTGCGCAAGGGAGGGCTATAAAAACTAGACCATTGCCAACCAAGAAACACCAAATTACACTATTCGCTTTTTATTTCAATAGTCAACACAGAAGTATACTGTGTATGCATTCGATGTCTACAGTACATTCGCTCTCGTCGTATATGACCAATAGCCACCAACTTAACTTGGTCTTAGAAGGGAGAACGGAATTACGATACGTCTCGCTGTTACTGTAAATTGTCATGACTATTCTTCATTTTAGGAGGAAAGACCTGCATCTACGTTTACCACGACTAATCGATCCAGTCCAATTGATTTCCAGATGAGGGATGCAAAAACGTCAGAATTGTAAGTATCAAGATTGTCGGGCAAAAGTCACATCTCATTGCATGTGAACACATTGTTTTATTTGTATCTACTTTTTATATCACAGATACATAGCTTTATACAACTACAGACCACAAAAAAATGACGAACTTGAGTTAAGTTCTGGAGAACATTACAAAGTTCTAGAAAAAGGAGCAGATGGATGGTTTAAAGGTTTCCCCGTTCTAGGAAGGCAACAAGTTGGCCATTTTCCAGGAAATTATGTTCGTCCTGTACGGTACGTTTTCCTTTTGCATCCACATTTGATTAAAATTCAAGTAAACCTTCACGCAATTTACTTGTACTAGCTATACAACATTCTGGTCATATTGTACAGTATATAGTATTAGCCCTTTTAAGAATCAAGTCCTGTTTTGTTGTAATTTCATGCTAACTTATAGTGATAAGAGGCTGTGGCGTTGTGCGGTATCCGCACGGGTTCTGCAAGACTTTATAGGTTTATGTTATTTGAGTAGACCATGTTAGTGGGACTGACTATGTCGATTTCAGTCACTTTTCCATTTGATAACATACTGATGATTATGATTGATGATTCTGACGATGATTCTGTAACAGGATCGAAATATAACCATCTAAATGTACGTCATGTTTTAGCCTTCAATGTCTGTTATTCGCGGCTCCTGTTATTGTTTTTGTCATTTTATTTTCAGATATTCTAATGCAAACCAAGAAAATAATACAGACCATGCAGTGCCATTAATTCAGCGACGTCGACATAAGAATAATTTTCAATCTTCATTAAACCCTGATTGTCGGTTACTTGTGCCAAGACCTCGACCGTTTTCTGATATCAGCAATGATTCCAACCAAGACTTGTCAATATCGCCACCTCTAACTCCTCCGCTGGTTGGAGCTAAACCACCTGTAAGTATAAAATGAAATATGATACACCAGGTTACCGACATCTCGCAACTAGGTTAATGTATAATCCCTGCGGGAAAGAGATTACACCGCTCGTTCGGCCTTGAGTCGACACTCCACTATATTGCGAGATAAAATTCAAATTCCGCATCTTTTATGTGTCAAAACGCAGTGAATCTAACGAAAAATGTAGCCGTTGCTACAAATTATGATACGAAACAAAGAACACTATAAATTATGTCACCATATTTGCTCATAACTTGGTAACCTCTACAGAGAAAAGAACAATTTACAGAAAATTACAACAGATTACAGAAGCGGAAGTGGGAAGGTTCTTGTATTTTGACTGTAATAGATCACTCTCGATGAAGACACTAGACTGGAGCGTCGAAACGTTGTGCTGTGAATGTAAACTGTTGGAGGATTGCATTTTCTACTTAAAGAAATCAACGCCCACGTGCACGTCTAATCCTCGAACGACATTTCATGCTACAGTATACCGTGGCAGGTTCCATATTCATAACATATAGTAGTAACAAAATGTCACACATTACATTAGGTAAATTGTCACGAATTCTTGCTGTTTTAGAAACAATCGTTATTCCGAAGATTAAGTATTGGAAAAAAGAAAGATCGTAGTAGCCCACAAACGGTTCAGGGGTAAGGTTCACGAGTGTAATTCATTTTACATTTAATTAATGTGCATATGTTACATAAAATTTGGATAACAAATTCTTATGTTTCATTCAAAGAAGTAACCAACAAACCGACACGACTGTTCCAACAAGTTCTTCATCTTCCTCGTCAAGAATAACACAACCTGCATTATTTTCAAGAACACGAGTATGTTTAATTTCATATTATTTACCTTCGATTCATTCTAAGAAACGTTGTGATTGTTATATTGTCCCGAAGCAACTGAGAAGAAGAACAATCATCTTGCGTAGCCTATTAATCATGCAGTCTATAGTTAAGTAGTCGACCACACTGTCTTTGTAACTACAAAACAGCAAAAGCAATTGCACGTTTCTTTTTTTAGTTTTTTTACAGCTGCATTAAAAGAAAATCTTAGTTTAGAGTATATGTTTACAACAAAACTTTAGATTACTTAAATTTCTATTATAATATAGATTACTTGAATATATATTAACCTTTTTAATTACTTTTAGATGGACTCAAGACAAGGATCCCGGAACTGTCCCAGTGGTAAAGAAAAGTAAGTTTATATTTTACGCTTCTAATATTTATTTTACATGAACACATACAATTAGTCATTTATTTTAAGTGCATCCGTGCAGTTTCATTTTCATCACGCATTAATTTTTATTGGGTCTGACACCTCTTCGAGGATCTAAAGAGGAGGTTCACCAAGCAGAAACAAAAATCGAATGGAGGTGTTCCCATTATTGGTCATGCTGTGAATGCCTTCCTATTTGTTCGTTTTGTGCGGGGCTTCGGTGGCGCGTTCGTCAGATCAAGCGCCTTGAGTTCGCGGGTTCGATTCTCGCTACGGATTCATGTGAAAAGAGTCGGTCAACGCTCTGCCGAAAGACGTGGTTTTCTCCGGGTGCTCTGGTTTCGTCCTACGGGGAAAGTTGACAGGGTGGATTAGGATAAACGCAGTTAAAAAAGTAATATCACAATTGTTGTAAAGATAAAATAGTCTAGGCTAATTAAGTACATGTAATTAGGTATAAAATGTAAAAGTAAGCGTAATACTTGATATAAAGCGCATTTGAACATATCCACATGTAAGTTTGCGCTATAAAAACGTTAATCGTAATCGTAATTTTTCTGAAATTGCTAAATCTTGTGGTCACTGGTTTTCTCTCTTCTATTTATAGTATATACTTCTCTTCAGTACATTGCATCTCTGTCATGTCTCTCAATGTTTCCTTGGTCATCGTTTTCACCTATTCAGTCCTTGCAAGTGACATAATAACACATAATTCGACATAATTGTTTGACTTGCACCATTTTGGGTGCCAACTGTTTAAAGCTAAATAATATACACATCGTCAATTAGCCGTCGAGATGTCGCAGGTTTGGTACAGCTCTAAAGCCTGGTTCACACAATGAAATAAGCATAAGCACAAGCAGCGGAACCTTTGATGTGCATAAACGTAAGCATAAGAAGAACAAATGTTGCGTGCAGTAATAAGTAAACAGCTCCCATAGTGACTTGTGGGGTGGGAGGTTTTATGCATGATGTTTAGTGAAATGACTCGACTCGTGAATTGACCTTTGGGTGACTCGACTCGTGACTCGACCTTTGGTTGACTCCTTACAACACTGGACTGCAAGACCTAAATATGGGATTCCTGCGCCAAACGTAACATTCCAATCTCTGTACTCACGGGTATGCCTGTACTATAGTCCTTCTTTTGCTCTCAGGTTCCATGCAGGTTTCCTCTTCATGACTTGTCCTCATGACCTGGTATATCGTTTGTAATCTTATACTTGTCAATTTCTTACATGACGTTAATTTATACATTCAGATATGTCGTCATAGCCAGCTACCCACCACACAGCGCAATGGAGCTAGAGATAAAGTTTGGTGATATTGTTTACGTCACAAGAAAGACAGGAAATGGCTGGTACCATGGAACATTAGAAAGAAATGGAAAAGTTGGTTTTGTTCCAAGTAGTTTCCTTCAAAAGATTTAGAACTTAAGATTTCGTTTGCAATTAGGTATATATTATATATTTTGTTAAATGGTTTACATTTTCTGTGATTTTAATTTCATGCTTGAGTTAGAAGTTCGAAGAAGGCGGTAATGAATGTAGTTTACCTATTTGTTTTTTCTTTTTAGGGAAAGTGAACATCAAGCACACAATAAAAAATGCATGTCGCTTTCAATAACCACAATTTACATTGTCCAAATAATTTCATGAAATACTGTACAAAAGAAATATATTCATAATTCATTATAGTCGTCATGCATACATATTTTTTGTACATAAATAAAAACATATATACATTAATAAGTATAATAATCAATATAGCTAAATTTTTACATTTTATAATCGATTAAATAGTCCAAATGTTGAGTTTTGGTCAAGTGACACGAGCGCGCTTGGTATATACTGTACTAACGGTTGCTATTGCACGGTTGCTATTGCGTTTTTTGTACTGTACTGAATGTAGTATATATATATATATATATATATATATATATATATATATATATATATATATATATATATATATATATATATATATATATATATATATATATATATATATATATATATATATATATATATATATATATATATATATACACATATATATATACACATATATATATACATATATA